ACGTGGCCGATGCCCGATCTAGAAGACCCTTGGTTTTGGCGACAAACGGTCGTAGCGACGTGGCGATCACCAAGTTGCTCCTAGAGTACGGCGCCATAGCCAGTTCCGTTGCGTTTGACAAAAATGCTCCATTACGGGAGGCTGTCTGTTCAAACCAGGAGTCCAAAGTGGCATTGCTTTTGAAGCATGGGGCTGATACACATATCTTGGACCGCGAACTGGGATGAGCCTCGTGCACCTCGCGGCTTCCAAGAACGCTACCCCCGGAATTATCAACATCCTCATAGGCTCCGGTGTCCAATTGGAGTCTCAAGACAACATGGGCAGAACGCCACTTCAAGTAGCAGTTGACCATTCATGCACCCGCGCTGTGCGCCTGCTATTAAACCTTGGCGCCAATCCAAACTTCAAAAACAATAATCAGTACTGGAAAGGGTGGAGCGCACTTTTCTACGCTGCAAGAAATCCAAGCATTCCAGGGAATGGCGGAAAAAGCATCATTCGAGCATTATTTCTACATGCGGCTGAGCTCGATGCTAGAAATCACGCTCAGAAGACGCCTCTACTCCATGCAATCTCTAAGAGCGCCATAAAACAGGCACAAGCTCTTGTCGAATGTGGTGCCAGTATTATGGCTACAGACGCCAATGGAAAAACGGTCCTCCATGTGGCTGCTTCCTCATCGAGCTGGTGTCCCAGTATGGTGGGCTGGCTTGTTGAAAACGGCGCTGATGTAAATTGGGTCGGGGGTACACATAGTGAAACCCCAATTTTCTATGCTATCCGGAACGCTTTTAACCGACAAGGCATGGAATGTGTTCGAACGCTTCTGTTGCTTGGAGCTGATGTTCAATTTCAAAACAACAATGGGCTGACGCCTCTTTCCCTTGCTGTGCGCATGGGATCTATTGAGTCAACAAAGATTCTGCTCGAACATGGAAGCTGTGCTAATTCGAGAGACAAATATGGCAAATCCCCTCTGCATTATGCTGCCGAAGCAAGGAATGTCCACAAGATTGTCAAACTTCTCATTCAATACGGAGCTGATGTGAACTTTCAGGATATTCTTGGATTCACGCCATTGCATAGGATTGTCGCCAAAGAAGGGACGTGGGAAGCAGCGGGGGAGTTGTTAAATGCCGGGGCCGATCGATACGCCATAGCAGATGATGGAAAGTTTCCTCATGACATGGTTCCTGATGGCCCTTGGGCGGAAACGAAACGTTCTTTGATCCGTTTTTACATATCGTGACTGGCGTCACCGCAATCAGCCAGCTCTGATATAGCGCTTAAGTACTATCAACGTGACCCTTGCAGCAGGGCTTCTGAGATTGAGGATTTTCAAAGACTTTAGTCGTAATAGAAATAACATCTACGGCTAATCATGGTAAAAATGCGCTTGGTGCCTGAAACTATATTTCGGGGACCGCACATGCTTGGGCCTTTCCGAAGAAGCTTTTACTGTGGACTGTCTTTGTTTCCTCAAAGTTCCGATATGAAATCAATGTACCTTTCGCGTGGGAGACCGCACATCTCCTGGTAAGGTTATATCAGATCTGTGATACTCAGGGAGGAATATTCTGGATTGTCATCCTGTGAAAGATTCGGCGATGTTGAGATTAAAAACGTCTAGCTTTTGAGTTTTATCATGAACTGAGAGTCACTTTCCACTACTTGATTAGCGCTGAGGAATCATGCGTTTATACTCGACCGAAGAGGAGTTTAGGTAGGCTTTAGGCTTGTAAAACAGACAGAGAGAATTTGGCTCTGGAGATTTTGCATTTGAAAATACAAACAAACAAGCCGCATTCCTGGATACATGCCTAGGAGACTCCCTTCACATCTCCTCGTCGTGGGCTTCCCTTTCTCGCCTCCTGGCGGTCCGAAATATAGACCCCATGCTTCCTCTGTGTGCCAATGATTGAAGTGTGATCAATAGTCACGGGATTGAAAGGTTGGAGCAGCCTCAGGATAATTGGTTGTCGCCGTCCACTCAGTCAAACCTAGTTGATGTGTGGTACGTTATTTGGCACCGACATTTAAAATTCTCTGAGACAACATCTATCAGGGTCAGATATAGAAAAATTGAAGTTTTCAAGAACTCACTTCAATATGAAAAATCAACATCTTGTTCTGATTTCCCATTCCAGTTCGATATCATTGCACGCACTTTGCGGCTCTCCATACCACTGGCTCCAGGTTTCTCCATTTTTGAGCTTTATAGCTGTGATACTGCCTACAGAGTTTCGACCGAGTGCCAAACCCTTCAGATGCTCCTTCAGTATGCTTCAGTCCACAAGCGGCATATCCGTAAATGTAGCGGGATTGTAGGTCCATAAGTAGGGCTATCCACTCTTCCTTGCGGCTTTTGGGACCCGTATACTCAGGGCTTGACAATTTTCACGGGACTAGATTTTCTTTTAGTCCCATAGACCATGCCCACTAGTCCCACGGGTGCCTCAAACATTCCCAGTATGTCATAGCGGAAGGGCGATGCGAGGCTATAAAGCCAATGAAAGGGACAATCTATGAGGAGGATCCACCACTGAGGTTGAGTGGGTCGTGGGTCGTACTAATGCACACTAAGACACACTAATGTATGCCACAGAGTAAGAACGACATTTTGCCCCTTAAATCTGGCACCAAAGAAACTCTTAACTTATATATGGATTATGTATACAGTCAACTCTCGCTTATACCACAGCATACTATCCAAGCCAAATTACGTGGTATAATTGAGTTGTGTTTTGGTGAGAGGATGACATAATATTTGACAAGCTAACTCTAAGCCCTAATACCTATTTAGTCTTCCATCCCATCATCTGATCCAAAGTCACCTGACGTTTCTCATCAATCTGAATCCTGCCAAAGTCGCTGATTAAGCTCTCAATTTGTCTAATATGGTCCGAGGTACCCTTTTCTTTGCTACAAACCCATAGTAGGATATCCTGGAGGCTGTCCAATATAGCAGAATTAGACAGAAGCTCAGGTGGGGGCCCATCAATGTCAATATCCTGAATTTCTGAGGTTGTTGGGGCAATATATATATCTTGCTCATTGGTCTCATCTCGCCCTTCAGTCCCATCTTCTAACATGTCTTCGTCCGAAGGGTTCAAAAACTCGTCAAATGGCACAATATCTTTATCACCAAGCTTATCAATTGCTTGATTATATAGACTTTCAATCTCATCACTCAATCCGGGCTCGGAAAATAGTGCAGACTCAGGTGCGGACTCGGGCGCGGACTCAGGTATAGGTATAGACTTTGGACTAATCAAAGTACTTTGTTTAAAGCAATTGATAATCGTTTGGTCTGATACACTTGTTCTCCAAACTTGCGTTACCCAGGTAACAGTATAATAAATGCTCATTCTTTGTTTTGGGTCTATCCCACGATCAAGAAAAGCAATCATATAGCGCATCCATTTCTTCCGATAATGGTGCTTCAAGTTTTGGATAATACCTTGGTCCAAGGGTTGATAAATTGAAGTTGCGTTTGCTGGCAAAAAAACAACCGTAATCCGGGGTGGTGGTGGCGCTCGCTGGAGTCCAATAACATGTGGTGAAGCATTGTCTAAAAGGAGCAAAGCTTTCTTATCTAAGGGAATACGCCCATAGAAAGATCGCAACCAGTCCTCCATAATGTCATGACGCATCCATGCTGCCTTGTTGTGACGCCAAACACATCCCAGAGCTCGGAAATTAACCCCCGGAGTGCGCGAGGGGTTTTTGCTGTGCCAATCAACCATAAAGGGACTCGATCGGAACCATCCGCATTTGATGCAACAACAATAGTGATTCGTGTTTTATCAAGCTTTTTGCCAGCAATTTTTCCCTTTGAAAGACCACCATTTGGCATACGTCGCCAAAATAGGCCAGTTTCATCCATATTGTAGATTTCGGACGGTTTGAATTGATTGCAAATCGATTTGGTGCTTTTGATCTGATCATGTACCGAGGATGGGACTGAGGCAGCTTCTCCGTGGAAAGTATGATATTGAAGAGAGTGGCGTTGTTTGAAGCGAGTTAACCAACCCTCAGAGAATTGAGGTTTGGTCCGATCTTTGTATTCCGGTATTTGTCTCCAAAGCTCAGCTGCTTTAGTTTGGATCAAAGGGCCATTTATTGGTATTCCATTGCCAATATGGTTATCTGCCCAGTCATATAGCTTTTGGTCCAATAATGGCCAATGAGAGGATGAAGATCGTTTGTTTGCCCCTGCAGGGCCCGTATCAAGATAATTGTATTTGGATGAAAGGATCCTTGATATGGTTGACCGGTCAATCACTTGTTTGAATTGGTCCTCAAACCACTTAGCACATGCAGTCTGCGTGGGCTTTGGGCTAGTATTAGACCAAAATGCCCGTAGTGCCTGTTTCTGCGCGTCTGATATACCCAATTTGGTACGCTTTGGTCCCATTCTGACGCGCTTGGGTGGGGTCGGGAGGGTAGGAGAGCTTGTAGATTGAGGCATTCTGATTGGTTGATTGCGCTGACTAAGCAGATTTGAGAGGAAGAAAGTGTGGTAAAACAAAATGTGTTATATTCTGTCAATTTATATGGAAAAAACTGGAATGAAGGGGCCATCCAAGCAAGGGATGTGTTATTATCAAGAATGTGCAATATCCCACCGTGGTATAAGCGAGAGTTGACTGTATCTACGATTTCATTATTTTTATGTTTGTTTCAAAGTAGATAGTAGAAAGATTACATTATCAGTGGCGATAGGGGAAAGACACCAATTGGAACTGGGTGCTGGTTCCAAGAGGATCACTGGGGGAGTAAGCTGAGGATCAGATGGCCAGGTCTCCTTTCTACCGCTGAGGCTAGATGCGACAGGCGCGATGCGAGTGGACTTAGCCTCCGAAAGCAGGCGGCCCCTGTCCGAAAAGATATGGAGCTTCCCCATGAGGCGAGAATTGCATAAATTCAGGTGGCTTTCCCTTTCACTCGAGAACCCCTCTTGATAGCTCAGATCATTAGGGATCCCGTTCTTCAAGATGCTAGGTTCCATTTATCTTGTCCTCGCGGCATCTTTGGCCGTCTCACAAGCCCTCCAAGGCTCTCCCGCTACTCAGACCTGCTCGGACCCATGGGCAAGAGTCTCACCCGCAAAAGGCGCGGTGGTGGTGGACAACAGTGCCAGTCCGTACCCAGGCTCGCTCTCTACCGTGCAGGCTGGAGTTGATGCTCTAAATAGGACGACTACCATCCCGCAGACTCTCTTTGTCTTCCCCGGGACCTACGTCGAACAGGTCTATATTCCACGTCTTAAGTCCAACTTGACCGTCCAGGGGTATACATGCAACTCCAAGGGATATGAGCAAAATACGGCCACGATTACCTATAATCTGGCCCTCATCAACACCACCAGTGATGACAAGACCGCGACCTTGCGCCAATGGAACCCCAACACGAAGGTGTACAACATGAATATTGTCAACACCTTCGGCCATATTCTGAAGAATGGTCAAAATCTGGCCGTGTCTGCAGAGACCACCGGTCAGGGTTACTACGGTTGCCAGCTGATCGGGTATCAGGATACTTTGCTTGCCGAAACTGGTAAATTGAGCGCATTTGAAGTCCTGTCCATTGAGTATATGCTTATTAAATCTTCATCCAGGTTCCCAGCTCTACGCCAAAAGCCTGATCGTTGGGGCTGTCGACTTCATTTTTGGAGAGACGGCCCTGGCGTGGTTCGAAGGCATTGACATCCGCACCATTGCTACCGGATGCATCACTGCTTCGGGCCGTAGCAGCGCCAGCAACCCGTCATGGTACGTGATCAGCCGTTCGAACGTCTCTGGAATCAACGACACGATTCCGGCGGGTACCAGCAACCTCGGTCGTCCCTGGGGATCTTTTGCCCGTGTCGTCTTCCAGGAGACCTATCTGGGCAATGTCGTCGCCGCTGCAGGCTGGAAGCAATGGTCGACCAGCACCCCCAACATCGCCAACGTTACTTTTGCCGAGTACAACAACTCCGGTCCTGGATCTGTTCTAGAAGAAAGGCCCCGAGCGGATTTCAGCGAACAGTTGACTGCGCCCGTTTCGATCCAGTCCATTCTCGGTGAGAATTTCAAAGATGAGTGGTGGATCGACACCAGCTATCTTGATCCGAGTGATATGAGAGCAGTGAGAGTTGGTGAGAGTTGGTCTGACTTATCCAAGTAGGAAACGGCTGCTTGAACTCTCTACGGACTATCCCCGTTCAGGGTGCAAATACAAGTCCTGCACAATAAACTTGAAGGGGCCCCCTGATAAACTATCTAGCGATTTTTCAGAATAGAGCGCTTTGCATCGTGAAGGAAATCCGAAACCAGGGAAGAGTCGTTACCCTAAAGCCGTCAGTGTATACCATGTATGATTATCAAGCTGCGTGTCGAAATTTCGCTCTGTAAGATTACAAGGAAACAGCTACCTGACGTCGGTAAGCCTAGTTTAAGTTGTAGATTTCCATATGTGAAGCCGGTTTTAGAGGGCAAAAGTCCGTCCAAATGAGGAGGCCAAGGTTGGAACAACTCTTTCTTGGCAAAAAAGATTCCTTGACATAATTATCTCGCCAATTAGAGGTCCAACGGCCTCGTGCATTAGTTCATCGTAATCGCAACTTTAAACGCTACCGTCTGATACCTACGACATATCTGAGATGGCAGCGATAGTTGCGACGAGTGCGAAGGCACAGAGATTGCCCCCCTGACAGGAGAGGAACACCAAAAACCACGGTACCCGGTGACCTACTTCGATCGATGGAAGACATCGCAGATAGGGCCCGCCGGTTTTTTAATTACATCGAAAACATTGGCACAGAGGATCGATATGTCACAGACGGTCGGCTTGTATGCGCTCAATGCCTAACGGGGCGATAGCTAGGGGATAGTTATATGGGTCCATTCTAGTTACATAAGCTATACTGTCAGATCATCTTGTCAGCAAAAGAGGGTCACCATTTTACTAGTGTGCCCGAGGAATATTCAGCATCCCCATCTGCCTGATGATCGTCAGGCCCTCAACGACCTTCTAAGCTTATCGCGTATTTATTTTGCACTTTCTATAGTATAGAAACGACACTCTCAAGTACTCAATTTGCTATGCCCGTACTAGTCCGTACTGTACCGACCACGTTCCGACACATCTATGGACCCGGTTTCATGCAGTATTCGTACGATATTTGTGACAAAATCGGCTTGCCTGATTCACGTACTGCCACTATCCCCTCAGCAGCTGAAGATGCAAGTGGAAATGGGTGGTCTAGTAGTTTCCTAGAAAGCTTAAGTAAAAGTTTAATCAAGCAATCAATATCTTTGACCCGATCTAGCTTCCTCCACATACAGGTGCCATGTAGGTGTTTACTCACTTGCATAACCAACAGAAGACGCAGGGTAAATGCCACGTGCATGCGGGGCGCCTGACGCAGCCCGAATAGGGCAGCAGCGCGAGCCTCGGAAATCGGGCCGCAAGGGCTAACTTACTTCGTGGACGCGACTATCGTTCGCAACGTACCGGAAGACGATAAGTTGATCAAAGAGGAGATGTTTGGCCCCGTTCTTGTGGTCAATACCTTCTCGGACGAGGAGAAAGTCTTGAGGAGAGCAAATGATACCGAGTTTGGCCTGTACTCGAGTGTCTTTACGAGCGATATTTCGCGAGCTTTGAGAGTTGTCAAAGCGCTAGAGGCTGGTGCAGTTGCCGTTAACTGTACAAGTCCTTTCATGGTTGTTGATCTGCCAATGGGCGGATGGAAGCAAAGTGGTGCGGGAGGGAGGGAATTTAGCAAGGCCTGTTGGGACACTTGGACTCAGTTAAAGTGCGTATTTATTTCTTTGTAGGCATTTTCGGGAAAGAGTTGAATTATCTAGTCGTCACTCGGTTCCTCTTCTGCTATCCAAGTTTGATACTTGCTCTATTGCCAAAGCATGTCTACCATGCCATAGACCACGCAACTACAGCTGTGGGAGGCCACCCACCCCTGTCACCGAGGTGTGGTGATGTGCTGCCGCTTGCGGTCTCGAAAGCTGATCCAATTGGCCCGTGAGGACCCCCGCCCTGAGAGCCAACGCGCCCGGGTCACGTGAATCTTGCTTGCACCTCTCGGTTTCCAGGTTCTATTCACGACTTCGTCGATGGAAACTGCGCAAAAAATTCCGTTGCGATGTGCAAGGGTTACTAAATGGCAGTATAATTTCTTCGCACAATAAATAAATTGGTCATGGAACAAGCTCCCGAAAGCCAACCAGATGCCTTGTCTGCAGGCAGACGTATCTATCTAGGTTGCGACCATCTACTGATGACTCTGCTCTTCGCTAGGCTGACTTTTTGAGTACAGGTAACCTACCCTACAATACAAAACCATACGAAATCGAGGAAGTGCTCGCCACCAATGGCTTCGGCCACTTAGAAAATATCCACATCTCTATCGATCCCGTCAGCGCACGGAACCCAGGCTACTGTTTCGTCGACTTCACCGACCGATCGACTGCCGACCATGCCCTTAGTTCCTTGAGCGCAACCATTAGTGGACGGCCTATAAGGGTAGGCCCATGCGAGCCCAAGAAGCAGGGCGATCGCCATTACAACCGCCAGGACAGCTTTGCTTTCCGGCGATGGGGCGATTGGAGCGCCACTAGCGAGATTACCATTGGCCAAATCAGTGGCAAGGGGATCGAACAGGGTCCCTACTGGGCCCTGGATCACTTTGATGACATGATACAGAGCCACGAGGCGCGGAGGCTCTATGTCGGTGGGTTGGGCAAGATGATTAACCAAGCCCAACACAACCGAGAGATCACCGATCTTTTCGCTGGCTTCAGCCCGTGTGGAACCCTTCCATTACTACGCCGTATCATACCTTTACTAATTAGGATGTGTATACTAGGACGGCGATTGGCAAACGGATCACGCCACACAAGAGCACAAGATCTATGCCAGGCAACCATCACTACTGCTTCATTGATTTCGAGACCAAGGAGGAGACAAAAGCAGCGATGAAGGCACTGAACGGCAGGCCCATTGCGGAGGGCAAGCTAAAGGTAGCGCTGGCGGGGGACATACCTAGAACGCTGGTTAATCGTCATACTGATGTCAGATACGGTCGCCGTGTGTACAATGGGAATTACTTGGGTTCAAATAGCCCCTGTTCTGAAAACATGGCGGAATCGAACAAGGCCTTAGCATCCAGCGACTGGCGCAGGAGGGGTAACGAGTAATTGAACCAAAAATATCATTTGTCTTAAAGGCATATTTGCTGCCCGTCGTGGCGTCGACTCGCCCATCAACTCCCACTTCGTGAAGGCTCAGCCTCCTTCCATATTTACTGTTGCTAGTGGTCTTTGGATATCCAGAAAAGATGAAACATTTTACATCAGGCCCATACAATTAAGGCTGGTGCAGATTAGGGACCAAGCCGCATCGTCGGAAACAATTCCTGCACGATATATACGAAGAAAAGATGATTTCCAATCAGCTTAGACCTCGCATTGTGCATAGTCTCTTGTAATCCCTCAGAAGTATTAAGTTGAACTGCTCATTCCTCTGAATTACGACAATATTCAACTATCTAGCTTATCTAGGCATAGATATTTGGCCCCTTCGTTCCCCATTCCAACAATGTTTCAAAACTAGATAGAGTAATCGGATTTTCAGGTCGATTCTTTGCTTCCGCTTGGTTAAGCAATCTCGTAGCAAATTGATGGCTGCAGCATCGTGGGCTAAAGATTCCCAGGTAGAAGCGAGATTAGCCGTACTGATGAGCGTTTCTGGATGGTTCTCGCCGAGCTTCATATTACGAGTCTCTATCGCCCGTACCTCGAGCTGCTCGGCCTCCTTCCACCGGCCCTGGTTCGTATACGTCGACGCGAGGTTGGCAATATTGGTCAGCGTGGAGGGATGGTCCTCGCACGACCGGGTTGTGCTAGCACAGAGTGCAACGACCACGACGAAGACAACGAAGTTCGCTGGCCTCTCTATTTGTGGTAGCTCTAGAGGTGTACCCGGTGATGAGTACTGCCCAATACCCTGCGCAATTGGGCGGAATAGGACGAGGAAAAGGAAATCGAGGATGCTAGATCCAATCGATCCTGAACTCGGACGATCAAAGATGTATTTGGGAACTCTGTCGGATTCTATGCTCATGACCGCACTATCCTTCGCAACTCGTAGTGCCTGGCAAGAGCAATATGTTGAGATATTGGCTCAGTGCGGCTGAGGCCTCAGCATCTCTGAATTCATGCGCAACGACCATATAGGGCTTATTAGATGTTTTGTACCATGGAACTCTTGCATGTCCGTCGCACTCTCGCTTATTGTATTTTTACTACTACAAATAGCTGTAGAAGTACCTCTTCAGGGAGTTAGAATTAAAACACCTCATTTCAATGACAAAACTTCTTGCCAAGAGAACCTCCATAGTCAGATATTTCAACACAATAAACTTAATTGCTGTCTATCTATCCCAATCTTTTCTGTCATATAAACTCCACCGTTGGGATGTCTGTGATTGAAGACTGTCTCAGAGCACCTTTGCGATTGGAATATCATTTTACGCGTACGACCAGTCCAATTGTACAGTATTGACTCCGAGGGTCTCCGACATTTTCCCAGGAGGAAGGACATATTAAAAATGAAATTTGCGGGGTCTCTTGCACAAGAGATCCTTCCAAGCGTAGTTGCATGATAAAAAAATAGTCTATGCTTCCCATGGGACAATACCCTCCTGCTAAACCGGGATGATATGCTCTGTGGACGACGCTCCATGGTTCTCTTCTGACTCGAAATCTGACGGAATTTCTACCTCTCGCGAACCCAAGCTGGCACTTTTGTTCACTCCTGTAACCCTACCTAACTGATAGTTTGGGTCGGTATATGGCCGGCTGTCGGTGTGGCTTCGTGTAAAAGAAAAATAATCCGGACACATCTTTCGGGCCAATGGCCTTAAATGAGGCGCGCAAGTGCACACGATTCCCATATTTGATTCGATGCACGCCATAATCACAGCGATAACAATGTAGTCTTCTCGCGGCGCTAGTTAGTGTGTGATCCATAACTCAGATGAGGTGCCTGGAGGGACTCACGCAGATAGTTTACGTCCACGTCATTTGCTAATATTGCTACTATAAGGCGGGCAACACTTGCTGCCAAAGTGCTGAGTTCTGTGGTTAGCTTCTTCTAGAGTTTAAGACTTAAAACAGTGATACTAACAAGATTCCACAACTAAACAGGAGGATGATTACAATCCTTTGCGCTCTGAGTCGGTGGATCGACCAGATAACTGGGATCGGAAGCACGATGATTATGATTTCCTGAACTGCATTTGATGCAAGCAGACCAATCTGAAAGTCATTGAAGTGTGGCATGCAGCCTGCAGCATTCTCTTTGGTCAAATCCCACGCGTTGTGAATAGGACGACATCGAAACAGAGAGATGCCAAGTGCAGCGAGTGAAAGGAGAACATTAAAGCCGATCAAGACTTGAGCGAACCGTCGACTCCAAGCGATGTCCAATTTCAGGTAGGTCACGAGCATGGAAATCCGGCAAAGGCCAAGCGTCGATAAGTTAATGGCGTAAAAAGTATATTGGACCTGACGGATCAATTAATAAAGGTGAATAAACGTGCGCTCAAGAGGTGGTTCCAATTTCCATACTTTGCCTATTGAGGTCGGTGAATAGCTCGGAGGGAAGGCGTTGTCCCTGTATCCAAGACCATATCTCGTGGCTAGCAATGAGGCCTGGGTCAGCATGATACATCGCAGCTTCGACAATTGGGTGACAAGGGTGACAGTTACCGAGGGTATTAACAATGGTTTGGAAGAAACTGAGGATCTTTTCCTGTCAGCCACAATTCTCATACCAACCCGAAAAGCCATACCGTTGCTATCGTAACAATCCAATCGTCCACCCCCACTATCTTGACAAGTACCCTCCGAGTGTATAATCGCATTCCACAAAAGAGAATAGCCAGCGCCGTGAAGATGGACGAAACGATAATAAGTTCAACTGCTCGACTTGATGGTGCCGTGGATCTGGCGTAGATCCCCTCTGATAGTGGCGGCATCCCGACTGCTTTAAGTGAGCCGTGGAAGGAGACAGGAAGATTCACCAAGCTTTGCTATTTTTCGCAGGAAAACATGTCCTGGGAGGAGACGAAGGGGGTAGTTTGACGTACCACGCTGAAGAGGAATGTTTCTTGGCTGACAATAAATCGGGGTGGGCTGAATAGCTGTGCTTTCCAATGATATTCACAATTGTGTGATATCCTCTACTCTCTGTCGAGACTGGTGCGTTGAGAGTGACTTTGTTCAGCTCCACAGATCGAAATGACAGGATCTTGCCAGACATTCCGTGGAAGCAGGATTAAATCCCCTTTACGAATGGAAAGATCCGGGCGCATGTTTTAACTCGAAGCTTTTCCGTGGCTGGAATTGCGGCTAAAATTGCACTACAGCTAAGTGTGGCGGATCATTGTTTTTTCTCCCATGGTTTCTATCGCGGGGTGTGTTCTGTTGCGACCAAACCTTACACACGCTGTCTCTCTTGAGTGCTAAAGGTCACCACTAAAGGGCGTACCTTACTCTGTAGGGGAAAAGACATAATACCAGTCTTCCACTGAATGTCAGTAAGCATCGCCCCTGATCTACAAATCACTATAACCTCGCAAGGTTCACTCGTCCAGCAATATCTTGTCTTTTGTTTCTGTTCCCCCTTTTTGTGGTTCTGCTAAACCTTATTTCACTTATTGGCTGAGACAGGCTCCACCCCGGAACCACACGAGCGGATACTTAGATATTGTAGTCGAGTAATGATGTCAGAGGCACCGTGTTGACCAGTGAACAACAGCCCTAGCCATGCTTACTCCCTATTTTCCCAGTCTAGACGCGCCGATTATCTATTTAATGTAAAAAACCTCAAAATCTCGTCAGTCACCTGGAGCGTGCTGATCACGATTTGGGGAATTCCACTTCATGGTGTCTCGGTATGCTTTCGCTACTTCGCACTTGCCACCCAATTTTCCTATGTGTCTCTTGATTTGCATCGGTTGGTACGCTATGGTGACTGGCCTCTCTTCACGACTTCATCTGGTGGCTATCCACGCTAATATCGATCCTATCGGCTTGTCGTAACGAACCGTGATGTCCTTACTAACCCCACACTTCGGGCCCGGGGAACCCTTGGCAATAACACGCAACCTGTACTTCTCGAGCTATATATACCGCGAGAAGACCGAGCTCTCTCCGACTACAGATAAAGACTCGTTCGAATTTAGTTTCACCACTTGAATTACTGAGGAATAGTCCAGCTACCTAACTGTACGTTATTAGTAGATGCGAAGACTTGTTTATGGCATACACTGTACAGGCAGTAACAGGATATCCAGGTTCAACCTTTTCCGCTACAGCTAGCCAAATATCTTGTCGATATTTAACATATCAGTCGTTGCCATTCTGATATCTTCTACTATGGAAAAGAATTCCGAGTCGGCAATTTTACCGTCACCTAGATTACAGTACAAATTAACAAACACGGACTGGCGCAAGGTCGACTACCTTGTGCAGCTGACGATGCCATTCATTCAGTTCACGACGGCCCTCCTGGCCTCGAAAGGGGCGACAGTCCCTAAAGTCTGTTTCGTGTTCAAGATACTAATGAAGCATATCGACGAGTCAGCTGAAATATTGAGAAGCAAATCAGCTCCATGGAAACGGACACTACTTGAGGCGTCGCTTGCCATGAAGATGGAACTTGGAGAAGTCTACGAAAAGACATTTCAGGACTTTGGGGTCATGTATGGCACTGGAACTTTCGTTGCGCCCCAATATAAAGTGTCCGCATTCGATGGCGCGTCGTCATCGCAAGGCTTGGGCCATCCCGAGCGCTACATTGAATATCTGAGGATCTTTCACCTACAGTATCGGCCGCAAATGCCCACGAGCTTGTCTTGTGTGAATGGACTGTCTTGCTCTCCGCAGTTATTGGGGCTCGACCGGCTTCTGCATCCACTAGCTGGTCTGGCGGGTAGTTCAAGGAGTGGGCAAGATGAAGTCGATCAATATCTTCGCGAAGGTCTGAACAACTGCTCACTATACTTTCTGCTGACTACTGACACACAACAGGGGTTGTCAATACTTGGCCATGCGCTTACTGGAAAGACCATCAACACGAGTGGCCTGTTCTCACTCGACTGGCTCGAGATCTACTCATCATTCTGGCTACAGGTGCTGGCACGGAACGACTTTTCACCGTTGCACAAGAGATCTGCCATGCGCGTGGGGAATATTTAGATGAGTCGACCATCCAAGACCTAGTGATGTATGCGTACTCGGAGGAATTTGAAACAGGGAAGCAATTGATCAGCCGGCTAGAACGTAACGGGGCAAGTAACGAAGAATGGGAGGAGTTCGAAACAGAGGCAGAAAGGCGTGAACCGATCAGCGAGGATGAGTGGAGTCCAGCTGAAGCGAGTATTGACGAGCGCCCAGAGGACGAAGAAAACAGCGAGGCAGGCACAGTGACCCCGGAAAGCGCACCTACGGATGACCTGGGCCAGGATACGGCGGATGAAGGCGATGAGGACTCATTCCTGCCCCCGCCTGTCACGCGGCTCATCAATAGCGTTCGAAGAAGATTCTCAGGCAGAATGACAGTGATCTAGCAGGGTATCTCATCATTCTTCTCCGGTGTTTGTTTGTTGGAATTCACCCTGCCTATCCTGCAAGAACGATACTCGCATTACAACTTCATTGTGGCTGATTTATAATAAGCCGCGCCCATGGAAAGGAGAAAACGTCATATCAACAGATCCTGTGGAAAGCGCGTATGCAAGACAGTCAACGTTACAATTATCACTTTTAGCACTGCCAGTCTTGTTACGACTTCTGAGAAATGCGGTGGCCTTTAGCTTACGCCCCTCCCCATCATGGGTTCATCAAAACTACATCGTAGCAGTAGTCTAACGCCAAAATAAGCAAGTATTTCAACTTTGAAAGCAGAATACATGATACCATGCAGCTCTCAATTAGATCTTTCTTTGCGGTTTAACACACGAGATAACGCGACTATCTCAAACAGATCAGCGGACGCGTCCATATTATATTGTCGTGTTAAAATATGGTAAAAGTGACAAATCAGTTTGACGATAATCAACGTTTCTAATTAATCCCTGAACGAATGATATAAGTATCATTATATGTCTTGCTGGCGCAGTCGAACGTAGTAAGACTGAACCGTTGAAAGTATACAGCTTTTGGTCATCAAAATGACCGGTTGAGCGAATACTGGGTCTCCATTTCAGGCTTTAGCTGTGCATCAATGTTAATACAGTAGAGATGGATTAAGAGAGCAAGATAACCTGTTGAGGCCGCCAACAATCAAGCTGATGGAACTATCAGCAAAACGTGTTGACCTTTGCTTGTGCAAGTATTGTCGGGATATATCCTTCTGTCAGAACACGCGAGCGGTAACTTACCGCTAGCGACTGATAGATCACATTTCTTTGCTTGGTGTATGTAATCTTGCGCTAAGCTGCGGCTCTGGCGCTGAGACGGATTCAGGGGTAGTTGGAAAGAGAGGAGACAGAGACAGAAGAAGGATATACATGAATCAATCAACTTTCGCTTTAGGAGCATGAACACTGTTCACTTAACTGCGTACACGGTACCTAGCGTGTGATACCAACAAGTATAAAGACACTAGATGAGAGAATGGTAAGAGTTTCCAGAGTTGCCTAATCCATGTACGTCTCTGCCACTCCTACGTCATTCCTCCGTTTAATGGTGCGGCGGTTCTGTCAGCAGCAAGCCTCTTGCTTTAATATCCTGTTGTTATTACCTTGGCTGGCAAATTAGCATCGTGGTAAGATTCTACAGCAACCCAAGTATGGCATTATGAGATGAGGTTGTTAGCGTACGCGAGGCCCAGTGATCCTCTATCGTCTGCACTCGGGCAAGATTGTACAACAAACGAATAGTGCATTCTTACCATCCTAACGTTCAAACAAGCTGGGATGAATCTAACTTTCTATTTCGATATTAACAGAGGTTTTGACTAGTACAGGAACATGGGTTATAGGTGGCTGCCGCTGACAAATGTTTGTCTTGGGGACGTAACTTTGTGTAAGAAAAAGGGATAAGAATGCATAGACTCCTTTAGCAACGAAGAATCACAGCCTTCAGAAACACAACAGGCAAACTATGGACGAAACCTAAGCTGGGAAGGTGCTGGAAGATTCCCCCGTAGACACGACACTCAGAGAAGTCCAAGCTTTTGCAAAATCCAGGCTTGTTTGGCACCTTTCATGGTTGCCCCATTTTTTTTGAGATATGCTTTGGTAACTGGGAGGCCTTTGCAATCAGGATGCCCGGCGTGTTCCAGCCACGACAATGGTGTCCCGTACATATCGTCGAGAGCATTGACTTGGGCTCCGTTTTCCACCAGAATTCTCGTTGCGTTGTAAGAGCCATACTCAGCAGCCCAGGAAAGAGGGGTACGTTTGTTTTGATCGCGATCGTCAATTGGCGCACCAATATCC